TTCGAAAATATTTGTTCTAAACGTAATTTATTTAGCTTTAAGTTTTTTTTGCGTTTAAAGATATTTTATTTACCTAATTTTTTTTGTAATTGTCTCTCATCGGTCCAATTAATCTTTAGCGCTTTTTTTTTTTGCTTTTTAAAATGTTCTCAAAACGACTAAAAAATCTGGCCAGTTTTTCGTAACTAAATATTATTTACGTGGTAAATAATATATAGTTGCGAGAGCGATCGCTCCCGCTTCCCGACCAAGCCTGATATATATATATATATATATATATATATATATACATATATATATACATATATATATATATATATATATATATATATATATATATATATATATATATATATATATATATATATATATATATATATAATATATATATATATATATATATATATATATATATATATATATATATATATATATATATACATATATATATATGTATATATATATATAAATATGTATATATATATATATATATATATACATATTTACGAAAAAAACTTAAAGCTAAATAAATTACATATATACATATATATATACATATATATATACATATATATATACATATATATATACATATATATATACATATATATATATATATATATATATATATATATATATATATATATATATATATATATATATATATATATATATATATTCAACCCTTGGAATCAGGAAAAATGAGGTTGGCAAATTATTGCCGACCTCAATTTTTTGAGGTCGACATCAAGTCAGCCAAAATTATATATATATATATATATATATATATATATATATATATATATATATATATATATATATATATATATATATATATATATATATATATATATATATATCAACCCTTGGAATCAGGAAAAATGGAATCAGGAAAAATTATATATATATATATATATATATATATATTCAACCCTTGGAATCAGGAAAAATGAGGTTGGCAAATTATTGCCGACCTCAATTTTTTGAGGTCGACATCAGGTCAGCCAAAATTATATATATATATATATATATATATATATATATATATATATATATATATATATATATATATATATATATATATATATATATATATATATATATATATATATATATATATATATATATATATATATATATATATATATATATATCAACCCTTGGAATCAGGAAAAATGAGGTTGGCAAATTATTGCCGACCTTGCATGGTAGTCACAAAGTTTTTCCCATAAACTGTTGTTTTAAAGAGCGTGTTAATAAGCTTGACCAGAAAATGTTAAAAAACTTCAAAAATTTTTTTTTTTTTTAAATGATAGACTGCCTGCCCAAACCAAACCCTCAGTCGATGTAGCAGCACTCCCTTGCGAGTCAGGCTATTTCTCAGTCGATGTAGCAGCACTCTGTTGCGAGTCAGGCTATAAAATAGTCAATGTAGCAACACTCCTTTGTAGCAGCAGGCTATAAGATTGTCGATGTAGCAACACTTACGCGTGTTTTAAAAATGTTTTTTAATTAAACAAAAACACCAAAACTTTCTAGTCATTATTATTGCGGTTTTTTTAAGAAACAATAAAATTTAATGTACTTCCGCATTATTTTAATTGCTTTGACATTTCGATGACAATAAAATGCAGCTTAAGAGACAAGGTAAAAAAATTGTAATCAAAAGAGACTTTTTTTTACCATAAAAGTCTCTTTCGACTACACTATAAGGATATATATATATATATATATATATATATATATATATATATATATATATATATATATATATATATATATGAATATAAACATATATGTTTGCTCAGGCCTTGCTTTAAATAAAAAATGCTTAACGCAATAGCCTTATATGAATTAGACGTCATAAAATTCTCTTTATTTTTTAAAAGCATTAACTTTTTTAAATTGCTGCAATAATATTAATTATCGCAAACCAACTTAAATTTTTGAATTTTTAAATGACTATTTCTCAAATTTCTAATTGCTGCTTTGCAATTAAAAATGATTTTTTATTAAAAAAAATTAGTGAGTAGCAAATAAAAAAATTATGTTAATTTATTTACTTTATTTATTAAAAGTTTACTATTTTATTAACAATTTTGTGAAAGCTATAATTATTTTTATAAACATCATTTATTAAAATTATAATTCTTTATATATCGTTTATTAAAAAATAATTGCTGCGATTTAACTTGCGTAATAAAAAAAAAGTTTAATTTAGTGTTTGTGCAAATTTTTGATGCAGCCGTTTATTTAAAATTAGAATAATAGTAAATACGTTTATTTAATGTTTTTTATTGGAATAGTCATTCAAATACAAGAGGTAAAACTATTTGGTAATTTTACAAATATTACACGATTTAATATATGTAAATATATTATGTAATGTAAATATTGATTAAAAATTGTTTAAAGTATTTAAATACTTAGTTACTAATTATTTAAAGCATTAATAACTACTAATATTAAATGTACTAAAATATAATTAATAAATGTTTAAAATACTTAAAACAATTTTCAATATTTATTTACAAATAGCGTGATTAAATTTTTAAGTAAAATAGTTTTCTTATCGTAACTAAAGTAACACGGTTACGTCCACTGGTAAATTCATATGTTCAAAGAAATGCCTTCTGAAGATAAGGAGAAATCATCTCCTTATTTTCAGATAAAACTAAACAAGATAAGCACAAATAAATAAAATGATGGTTAAAAATCATCCTCGTTGCATTGGTTTTCATTAGGGGATAATGGGTGGTGGTAATCTCAAGAACATCATCCCTACCCCCCCTTTCCCCACAGTGTTGCCAGAAAAGAAGATCCCTAAATAAACTCTGGGTTCGTCACTGTTTGTGCACTTAATCTGTGAGAAGCTTTGTGTAATTAGTATTTGTTCTATTTTTAGAACACATGAAATCTAATCATATTTTGCAAATTCTTTTAATTTTTTAAACTTGAAATAATATATTCTGCAATTTTGAATGATTTTGCTCAGCATTACATATAATAAAACTAAGCATTTTTGAATGCATCCCAATCTTTGGATGCACTTTCTATTGTGATTTGTAGACCTTACTTTTAACGATGGCAAGAAAACCTAATAAAAAATAATGGCCCTCTATATCACAACTGCTCTTTGATGATTTTTTTCAAGAATCGAGCAACAAAAATTAGTTTCAAGTTATTTTTTAAATTAAAAAGCTGTACAATTAATCTGCTTTGCATGTACTAGTAAAAATGTTTCATAAGAAAAAAAAATTTCTGTAAAAAATTTAATTTGCAAATTATTAATTAATGTAGTTGATATATATAATATGTATGCAACTTTACATTTGATTGGTTATCATACTGTTTGTGTTCATTAGCTCATAGATGTAGTCCATGAAGTATCATGGACTACATCTATGAGCTAATGAACACAACACTTGTTTTTGTCCATTGGCTTAATACATCTAGTCCATGAAATATCTCTTGTTTGTGTCTGTTGGCTCAATACATGTAGTCCACGAAATATCTCTTGTTTGCGTCCACTGGCTCAATACATGTAGTTTAGAAAATTTTTCTGTGATCTTATTTTAAAAACTTGTTTTATTGTAAACTTGATGAATTTTCATGCTATCTACAATTTTCATTTATCAACAATTCCTATAAACCAATCAGTTGTGAGCATGAAATAAACTTTTTCTCATTTGCAATAAATTTTAATCCACAGCATACGTAGTATGAACTTGTGGGTGTATCTGAATCAACACTTTCATTTATTGACATCAAGAGTTATAGCACATTGAATCTTTTTATAGACATCAAGAGTTATAGCACATTGAATTTTTGTGACATTAACTTAAGTTTTAGTCAACTCAAAGATTTCAGTTAAAATGCCAATTCAGACTTTTGATAAATATGAACAAAGTTTTCGTTTTTGACCACATTTAAATCTGTTCCATTCAAATCATCATTTCATGAGTTTCTTGTTTTTTACTTAACGATAAAACTCTATCTTTAAAATACTTGTTTAAAGTAATTTTAAGTTATCTTATGCTTGCTAAAACCAACAAAACCAAAAAAAATATAGTACTCAAAGTACTCAACATGGTATACTTTTGAAAAAAAAAGTTTTTTTGGACTTTCCTATTAATTCAAGATTTTTGAACTTCTCCTACCTATACCCAAAATTTAATCAATTTACTTTGGGTAATTGCTTGTGTACTTCTAACAAAAACTTTTTGTCAGAAGTAAATAAGCTCTGGTACAGTGAAATCTGCAAAAAAAACCTCAGCAACAAACTAATCTAAAACAGACAGATAAAAAATGTAAGAGAATTAAAAAAATCAGAAAGCTAAGTTTAGTTAATTTTAAAGCATTTTCTATCTACAATGCTTCTTTTGTTGTTGTTATTTTAAGCATGGAGGTATTTGTGAGATGATTATATGCTAAGATTAAGTTCTTTTTTTTCTTCATCTTAATTCAAGTATTTATGTTACTATAGTTTAAACTGAAACTGGTAGTCACCAGCAAGTGTGAGTCGCACACTTTGATACCCTTTTCAAATATTAATGAAAGCTTTCATAAATGTGTGTAATTTGTCACTTATGTATTGTATCATAAATTTTTAAAAATTACTTCAAAGATTTTGCGTTGAAAGCTTCTTCAGGCAAAGAATTTCATAATGGCACTATTCCATTTTTTATGAAGTAATGTCTGATTACATTGCTAATAATTTCCCTGTCTTATCTAATTTGCATCTGAGAATTATCTGTTTTGTAAGGACTTGAGCCCATGTAAACAGGTTTTAAAGAACGTGAGTATGAGTGAAAGCCAGTAATTTCCAGCAACATGTATATAAAGTCTTCAAGTCACTATGTATATGTAGACTTTGCTGTTCTAATTGGTTTTAAGTTTTAAAAGTAAGCACACAAATCCTAATATACTTTACTTTAAATAGTTCTTGTTTTTTTTAATAAAATTTCTTTTTTGTTTTTGAAATTATTTGCATTATTTAGCACAGCAAAAATTTTCCATATCAGAAGTGTCAACAAAGAAGTTTTCTTTAAAAGCAAATCTTACTCCTCCAACATATACAGTGATTCAAGAACCACCGCATGGTTATCCAAATTTCCTTGTCATAGAAATTGATCTTTTGAAAGAGGTATATAGAGTTTGTATAATATTGAAGAGTGTGTGTGTATGTGTATATATATATATATATATATATATATATATATATATATATATATATATATATATATATATATATATTATATATATATATACATACACACACATATATACATATATATATGTGTCAGATATACATATATATATATACATATAAAAAATATATATATATATTTAAACAATTTAAAATGTGTTCTACAAAAAGAGTGCTCAATGTTCTTAAAAGAACAGAGCAATTACAAATTAGTATAAAATCACTTAACAAAATTTTTTCTTATTTAACACTTTGTGTTTCATCAATAAAGACTCATCAGAAATGAATGATCAAATTAATAAAACTTCAATTTATACCAAAAATTAAATTACAGGAAGTCACATGTCTTAACTACTGCAATTTTTCACACATTTGTGTAATTTGCTGACACTATTGTAAAAGGAATTCTTTAGAAATGATTACTTAAGCTTTTTTAAAAAATATTTATTTATAATGGCAAAATCATCTTAACAATATCAACAAGGTAATGCAAAGACAAGACAATACTGAACATTTGATTTTAGAAAATAATTCCTATTAAAAGTCAAATATCTGTGTTACTTTAAAATATTAGCCATCAGAATGTAGTTCATTTCTTCTGTTTAAAAAAGCATCAAAATGCAGGAAGTGTTATTAAAACTTTGGCAATCGTTGTGCTAATTTCAGAAAGGAAAAATTTGCTTTGTCATTTTGGACACATCTTTTTTTTTGTTAATACTAATGAATTTATTTTTGAACCGTTCCAAAAGATCAATAGAGCTCAACTTGAACTTCATTTAATAGATTTTAAATCGAAAAAACGCTTTAAACTGAACTAGAAAACTTTGAAAGAAAAGAAAAAAATTTCAGTAGATCATAAATGTAAAGAATTTTCAAATCGTAAAAAGATCAAATAAAAGAATTTTCAAATCGTAAAAAGATCAAATATATTATATTATATTTATATTGATTAGTCTTTCTCAGAGTTACAACCATCTGTTTTGCTAAAACTTGAAATACCACAAAGTTGTCTAAAACTAAAGACCTCCATATCTGAATTTGATATAAAACAAATCTGTTAATTCACAAAAATATCTTTTTGTACATTTTTATTATTTTGCTTTGATTATTAATTTGTTCATTTTCTTTACAATATGTAAATATAATTAAAGACATTTAAACATCATTGAATATCATAAATATAATAAGTTGTTGATAATAATCTTTTGTTTTTTTCAATTTTCAGTACTAGTAATCAATTTTCAGTACTAGTAATCAATCTTCAGTACTAGTAATCAATTTTTTACACTAGTGTCTTTGCAGTTCTGGGTAAAAAATCAAAAGCCGCTAGCAGCGGCTTTTGATTTTTTTTAATTTTGACCGCAAGCGGCTGGTAGCGGCTTTCGAGTATGCTTCAAAATTTATCTTGTTTTTTACATAAATTTTCATTTCTAGACACATAATTTGTTTTTCCTTAAAGTTTGATTAATTCTCTACATAATCAAGAACAAATAAGAGCCATAATGTGTAATTATAATTAGTTATCACTTGACAAAGTTAAAAAATCTTGAGTAGAAAAAACTTTAAATTTAGTTCTAAAATAAAGCAGCGTTAACACTGTACAATTTAACTTGTAGAAATGTATGAGTTTTTAGCTAAGTAATTACAAAAATCTTTTGAAGAAAAACCTTCTTTTTATACATTAAATGAGTTTTATTTTGGACTTAACGTTTTAGTTACTATTTATAAAAACAATCGTTTTAAACGTTGCATTTCAATAATGCATGGTAAAAACTTATATAATTGAAAAGTTCATTTGTTTAGCTTTCTGTTGATACGTAGTTTGTTATGCTTTTAAAGAGATATACTATTCGAATTTTAATTAGTTGTCAATGTTATATGGCTCTACTAAAAATAGGACTCCTGGTATAAGTGAATGCAAAACATTCTAGTCAAATCGGTTTGATTTTTTGCAGGTTTGTGACTGAACTTCTGGGTGGAGAAAAATATGTTTCATGCTATGTGGTTCTGCCTTTAGCCATCTCTCTCTGGTGGTGGAGCGCTGGGATGACCCCTGCCTATGTGATCAAATTCAAGTTTACACTTAGAACAAACCTGGAGACACGCAAGGAAAATGCCAACATTACATATCTAAAGATTACAATTGCATTGAACCCTAAATTCAAAGACCTCAAGAACCCAGACCCAGAGGTGAGAGAGGTGAGGTGTGGGTCTCAGTCACTAACTTACTCAAAGAACAGAGGGTTATTGCAGATAAACTTGTGGGAACAACAACATCAAAGCCATTAAAGAGAAAGTTTGCTCTCTCGGTTGCTTCATCAGTGTCTGATTCTGAACATGAGGAAGACTCAATTGAGTTGATACAGAGCAGAGCCCATAGAGGAAGACTCAATTGGGCTCTGCTCTGTATCAACGGTGTGCGTCGATACAGAGCAGAGCCCACCATCAGTACAGAGGCCTACTCATTATAGTGGTGGCCCAAACATGCATGTTCACATAGCAGGTTGGCCTCAATTGCTCAGAAGTACTTGGCATCACCTGCAACATCTGTACCTTGCGAAAGGTTTTTTCTTGCTGTTCGGATTGTACAAACAAAGAGTTTTTTTATCATCTGAATATGTGAATGACCTTGTTTGTCTAAGTAACTGGTTCGGTGCAGATGAGTAAGTAAATGTAAAGTTGGAAGAATGGATAATATTATTTAAAGTTTTGAAAAACCAAATGTTATTGCACTTTTGTTTATTTAGTAGAACTTTGAAAGCATAAATTTACACAATACATTACTTTTGATTTCAGTTTTAAATTTTTCACATTTCTGCAATTAATTGTGATTAATTAATCGTGGTTATATATATATATTAGGGTGGGTCATAAATTTTTTTTTTAGAGTTGCTAACCTGGCTATGGTCTAGAAAGTTGTTTTTTTATGTACTAATTTAGGAAAGTATTTACTTTTATGGATTGAACAATGTCTTCCACCCGCAACTATAATTACAAAAATTAGCAGGCCCTAATATTATTCAAAAAAAAAGTTTTTCAAAATTATGTGATGATATATATATATACATATATATATATATATATATATATATATATATATATATATATATATATATATATATATATATATATATATATATATATATATATATATATATATATATATATATATATATATATATATATATATATATATATATATATATATATATATATATATATATATATATATATATATATATATATATATATATATATATATATATATATATATATATATATATATATATATATATATATATATAGTATATATATATATGTATATATATATATATATATATATATATATATATATATATATATATATATATATATATATATATATATATATATATATATATATATATATATATATATATATATATATATATATATATATATATATATATATATATATATATATATATATATATATATATATATATATATATATATATATAGGCATACAAACTCTAAAATCTTCAGTAAAAGTAGGAAGCAATTTCTAAAAAAAAACAGTTAAATTAACTTTTTAAAATTTTTTAGAACAGTTCTACTAACTTTCAATTAGACATTGGAGAAGACTGCTTGATATTTCAAAGTAATATATACTTTTTAGACATTACCTTACCTTTTAATGTTGATAACGAGCAGACTGGTGCTCAATTTCACTGCAAAACTAAGGTATTTTATGTTTTTACGTGTATATAATTTTTCTGGAGTAAAAATTGAAATATTGAAATTTTGAATTAAATTATAGTTTTTATTTTTAGAAATTGACCGTGACAATGCCTGTCTTACCGATCGGCGTCTGAATATGACAATATGTATTTTTCTAATAACTGTTTATCAATTTGTTTCAAAAAAAAAAAAAAAGTATCTGTATTTATATAAAGTTGTATATATGGTTGAATTAGATTTTTATCTTTATGAACTTGCGATATCCTATACTCTGTTTAAATTTTTGAGTAGAATGTTTATAAAACATTAGACTGTTTTTTACAAAAGATCAATCGGTGTAGTATTAGTTTTCTAGGAAAATATTGATTTTTTTTAAGCATAAAAGTTCAGTAATTGTGGTAATCCCTCTCCCTATTGAGGCCACAAAAGTGCGCAAGCATCTGGATAAAATTTTAGGTGTTTTTTCTAACAAGCGCTTAACTATAAATCAGGACTATCTTCAACTGGCTTTAAAATGCCTAAATCTAAAATTTTTTTTATGCTTATACCCATTTTAAAGCTTATATTTTTCTTTATAAGTTGACTTGTATTTTGATAATTACTAAAAAATAGAAAAAAATAATTTTTAAGCGGATTTGCGAGTTTTATTTGAATCTCCGAGTAAAAGTTTACTGTGGATTACTTCAGTACAGACTTCAGTGGGGCAGAATAGCTTTAAAACAGGACAAAAGTTTTTTTAAGTTTTGGATTTTTAAGTTGAAATATTTAAAGAGCACTTGTTAGATTTTAGAAAAATTATTGCTAAGATTTTTAAACATTTATTGCTAAGACATGGAACAACGTATTTTCGAGTAAATTCGAGTTAAATTAAAAAAAAAAAATCCGTAAGCAAAATCATTAAAATCTTGCATCAATAAATAATATTAAAAAGGATTTTACTTGATTCACTAAAATAAATCACAGTAATTTGAGTTTCATCCAAAAAGTCGAGAGAAAAAAAATCACTCAAACTTTTTTTTAAAAACGTATTACCCGAAAAATTATTTTAGCTCCGTAAAATAAACTTTTTTATAATTTTTTTTTTCTTGCGTAAAAAGTTGCGTTAACTTAAAGTAAAATTACGTATATAAATATAATGAATAAAGAAAACGCGTCACGGTAAGGAAGGAGGCGTGAACTGGTTAAATGCACTTTCCACGGTGCTCTATGACGATACCGTTAGGTCTTCTTGGGACACCTAAATAACAAAAAAAAAAAAAACGTAATAAAGCACGTTAATTTATAATAAATTTTTTTTAGTAAATCCAAACTATTTGAACAAATCATACATCGATACCTTAATATGCAAATTGGGTAACTCCATTTTTTGACAAAATAACTTGATTGCATTTGTTTTTTGCATGTCAATACACATGCTACGTAAATTGGGCGAGTCCAACATTATTACATTTCTAAATCCAGTATTTCAAGAGAAAGAACAAAAGTAATTGAAAATCAAGGTATTTTTTAAAGGGACAAGAGGTATTTTTTAAAGGGACAAGAGGTATACACCTAAAGAAAAAGTCTTTTATGCCAACTTTTTGCCAGTCAAAATTAGGTTTTTTTTTTCAAATCAAAAGGTTTTTTTTTCAGATGCGATATTTCTTGGCCCTGATTTTCTAATGTAAATCTATTATAAATTAAAGTTATAATACAAAATCTTACTATACCTTTAAAGAGTGGTATATTTACCTAAAAATAAACCATCATAACAATAATATATTGTATTAAAAAATGATCTTTATTTACTATTTAGGTAATTCAATCAGAGAAAATTACAGAGAGATAATGGCTGGAAAACACCTTGTTCTCCACTTTGATGGCAAGCTGTTAAAACATTTAGATAAAAATACCTTGCAATCTGTTGTAAGAGATAGAGTTGCTGTCAGTGTTACCAGCCCTGAATTTGAGAATAAAAACGATCTCTTACTTGGTGTTTTACCTGCAGAGTCTGGCAAAGCTGTTGATGAAACAGAAATTATTCACAACTTACTTGAGTCCTTTGAAATATGCAATAAAATTTTCGCACTTGTTGCAGATACTACCAATGTTAATACAGGAGCCCATGCAGGAATTCTAACCAGATTGTGCTATATTTTGGGAAGACATGTTCTCTGGCTGTTATGCAGACATCACATGTTTGAAATAGCAATACATAGGGCGATGGTAATTGTATTTGGAGTTACTGCTGCACCACAACGACAGTTCTATAAAGACTTCAAGAAGGACTGGGAAGTATATCACGCTATAGTTCAAAAATTTGACCTGTCTGAGTTTAAGAAATTTGATAAGAAGAAGCTAGAAGTTGGATCTGAACTTCATAAGCTTTACCTGGATGCTCAGGAATATATGAAGTTTGCACTTAATCACGAAGTGTTTCCAAGAGATGATTACAATCATCTAGTAAAGTATGCTGCATTTTATTTAAATATCTCATCACCAAAACTGAATGATTTTAAAATTCATTAACCAGGAGCCAATCACAATGCTCGTTTCATGGCTGACAGTCTTTACAATTTAGCTACTGTTATGACATCATTTATAATAGATTTTCTGCCTAAAGATCAGTTACCTCACCTGGAAAAGTCAGCTTTTATATGTGCAGTTTTTTATGCTCCATGGTATTTACGTTCATACAAAGCAGAATATGCTGTTAAGAATGATTACCTGTCATTCAAGTTAGCTTATGTTATACAACAAGAGTTTGATGTCAAAATTGGAAATGAATTTCTGAAATTTTTCAGCAGCACTCTTGGTACCTTGCCCCAAAGGTTGCTGTGTTAATACTGGCAGATCCAGATTTTGAAGCTTGCAATTCTAGACAAGCTGTTGACCTTTGAGGTACCAGATATCAACACTATTCGCAATGGTAAACCTGATGCTGTTTTAGTTTTACCTACCCCTGAAATAACAGAGTTGATTACAGAGGAAAGTTGGACTCTGTTCATTGTTCAAGGCATACAGGATGAAATTCCTACCTGGAAAACAGATTTGGCTGCTGGAAAGCTGGAGGAAAATGATTCATATGCATCATTTTGTGAGTTTGTTAAATCTCTAAATGTTACAAATGCCAGCAGAGCGGAATATCAATTTAATCCAAAGATATATAAGTAGTAGTATAAAGGAGGACAAAAGACAAGATATTCTGCTTGTTGTGCAAGAGCACAGGGCATTAATATCAAAAGGAGCAAAACAATTAACACTGGCCAAATTGTAATTAATATTTTTTTCAGAAAAAAACAATTATTTCTCTATTTGCGTAAGAACCTAAAATCACCTTCCAGCACTAAATATGGTCCTAGAGAGGTAAAATTTGATTTATATACTTTTTTTTATGTATAGAACAGGTATTTATACCGCGACCTTTCATTTTCTGAAAATCGTGATATTTTGGCAACCCCTAATGCACATGGCAAGTTCATTCCACCCAGGTTATAGTGAAGGAAAAAACATCCAGGTCTTTATGTTGTTTTAACACTGAGTTTGCGCCTCCGGGAACAAATTGGAGCTAGTCTGATAGTAGTTGGACTAAACAGGGCCTAGCCAAACTATGGTTTACTAAGGCATTTTTAGAAAAAATTGGTCCACAACGTCCTCAGTTATTGGTTCTAGATGAGCACGATTCTCACAACTTTATTGAACTAATTGATGTTGCTATCCAGAACCAGATACATATAGTTGAAATGCCTTCACACACATCAAACTGGCTTTAACTATACGACCGCACTTTATTCAAGCCACTGAAGGATTATTATTGCTCTACAGCACAAGATCTGATAGGTCAGTTTCCAGGAATTATTATTTGTCGTTCAAATTTTGCAGGGATATTTGCTTCAACTTGGGAAAAAGCAACGACTTCTAGCAACATTACATCTGAATTCAAGTCGTGTAGAATTTATCCATTTAATCCTCAGGCTATTCCTAGTGATGTATATTTACCAAACTATATATACATAGCTGAGGATATATCAGTTAATACAACTTAAAACAATTGTTTTTTGGTTAGTATTGTACTATCGTGTTTTTGCTAATACTACTATACCATAAAAATTATCATTTAAACTTTTGCTAGCAACTGTGCCTATATCTTATGTACAAATTGATAAAATGAATGAAGCATAAAGTTTTTGCATTTCAATACTAACTTGCATTTCAATACTATGATTTATTATTTTCTTAGGAATTCCAATCATCAATTGTCAGTGCCGGATCAAGGGCTATAGCCTGGGTCCCGCAAATTTAGGGGCCCCCATAAATTTAAGAGGTTTTTTTTTTTTTTTTAGTCATTTTTAGGCTCTGGCCCATAAAAAAGCTTCCAAAAACAAAAATAGCCCCGGGCCCCAAAAAGTCCATATCCGCCACTGTCAATTGTTTAAGAAATTAATTTTTCAGACGTTGATGCTTCTATAGATGCTGGAAAAGTTGCTAATTATCTAGAACAATTACAAAATGGCACTGAAGAAGATAACACAACTCACAGTTCGTTACAAAGCAACACTTCTTTTTTGGAAGCAGAGACTGTTGTTCATAATAATCAGCTTGCATATTTAGTCAATCCAGTTGAAGAAAAAAATGTTGACTGCATTGTGAATAATTTTACCAATCATACTAAGCAAAAAAAAAAAAAAAAAAGAACCATCAAACTTTAATTCTACTACAGTTTCAGATTTTTCGTTTGCAAATTCTTCCTACCCCCTGGTAAGTCAATCATTTTACAGTTTTTTTTCATTTCATTTGATCAAGTGATCAATAGTTGCATGAAACAATGCAACTTTTAATTAATTTTTAGTTTTAAGATAATTCAAATTTTTTTAAATTATTTAAATACTTCCCAACCGGAAATTTTTGCATTGCGCCATTCCTTACAGCAGGCAAAGTACTGCGCCAGTATTGGCTTACCAATAGTTGGCCGGCCAGTGCTGGTGAAGTACTGATTAAAATGTAAGACATTACTGCGCCAGTGCTGAAAAAATAGCACTGGACTAATACCTTAATCCAGCGTTGGCACAATACCGATTTCCGAGCCTCGCGAAAAGAATGTGCCAGAATTCAAGCACATGTTTCTTTTACGATAATTAATTATCGTAAACAGTATAATTCACCTTTACCATTCACTTTGAAAAATGCAGCAAATTCTTATTAAAAACTATTGTTAAATATTCTGTTAAAAACTGGGTCTATATTACTGGGTTTTTTCATCTTTGTCTTGGTAAATTTTGATTATCAGTCCGTATGTTGTTTAAAATTTCATAAATTATAAAACAAATTTTGCTATTATCACTTTTATTTAATTTACTGTTACTAAAGCTTTAGTAACAGTAAATTAAAGAAAAGTGATAATAGCAAAATTTGTTTTATAATTTATAAAATTTTAAATAACATACAGAGACAAATTATTCTGTAAATACCCATCTGAAAACGAGTATCATGTACTAGAAAATATGAGTAAAATGTCATTTATACCAGGAGTTTTGTGGAAAGGTTTTGAAATTATTTTAATTAAAAAGTATGTAATGAAACTCTTTATGTAATCAATTTTAAATGCATTATAACTTTAATATTGTCATATATAAAGTTATTTATTTACATTATAGAAAGCTATGAACAAGGATTGCGACGCATGATTAGTGCATGCTCTGAGTTTGTAGTTCAGAGCAGTAATTTTGAAGATTTGAACAGTTAGAAGAAGAATCTGCTCCTGTTAAATTAAGCAGCTCTAAGATTAAAGCATCTTTAAAAGATATCTCTTCATTTAAAGGTATGACTTTAAGTTTATATAAGTTATTTTTTTTCATAAAAAAATTAAAACATAAAAAATCAAAAGATTTATTTAACCTTATTACTGTTTTGCTGGCTTTTTAAATGATATCTATATCTGATCTGTTTTAGAGCATAATGAATCCATTGTTTCTTTTAAAGTAAAGAAAAGAAGATCGTCATGCCGTGATGAACAATCTAATGATTCTTCGTCCTCATCTCCTAAAATAAAGAAAATATTGACCTCTAAATGTAACCCAGCAAAACAAAACCGTATGTTTTCTTTAATCGAAAAAAAAATCATTATAGTTAAAAATAACCATTATTGTGTTAAAGCAATTTTAATTATTCAATGAGTTTATTATTTTTAGAAATGATAAAGAATTCCAGTATATCACATGAAAACTCCAGGAAAAATTTAGACAAAGATAAAATAAATAAAAAAGGTAATACAATATATTTTTTAGTTTACATATAAATCCTATTTTAATATTTTTTTAATGAAATCATTTCTAGATATCTATATCTTGTGTGTTTTAGATCTTAGTATTGAAAGCAGTGGAGATAGTGTTATTTCAAAAGAATCTTTTGTTTCCTTTGAAGTAAAGAAAAAGCGATCGTCGTGTCGTGATGAAGAATCTAATGATTCCTTGTCCTCATCTCCGAAAATAAAGAAAATATTGATCTCTAAATGTAAACCAGCGAAACTAAACCGTATGCTTTCTTTAATCAAAAAATAAAATCATTATTAAAAATAACTCTAATTGTTAAACACAAAAAAAAATGTGTTAAAGGATTTTTTATTATTCATGAAGTTTATTATTTTCAGAAATGATAAAGAACTCCAGTATATCACATGAAAACTCTATGAAAAGTATAAACGAAGATAAAATGAATAAAAAAGGTAATGCAATATGTTTCTTAGTTTTCTTTCTTACATGTAAATGTTGTTTTAATATTTTTTAATAAAATCATTTTCAGAATTTTGATCATTGCTTTCTCAGTAAAATTCTGACAATATTTTTTTAGATGTGATACTAAATCCAAATTATAAGTATTGTCCTACATGTGGCTGTGCAGGTAAGGATATTGTCAGAAATGTTTTTACCTATAATTCTTAGTTCATTGTAAATAATTAATTTAACTTTTCACTTTATTAAGAAAATGACATTATGGAAGATTTATGTTTAAACCACACCAGTGTCGAAATGGAATTTATTATAATATTTATTCATTTATAACATAAAAAAAAAAATGACAATAATAATGTAATAATAATTAACGATTTATTCATTTAAAATGAATGGTGGTTTTTCTTTACTAATAAGAAAATTTAGATTTTCATGACTAAAGCTAAAGGTCATTTAGCTTTAGTCATGAAAATCTAAATAAAAAGACAATTAACGAATTACCATTCAACCATGTAGAAAGCTTCCTTGATTTTGATAATAAATTGAAGACTGGTTTAGTAATGATGCAAAAACTGGTAAATAGTTTAATACTGATTCAAAAAATGCCAGAAATATTAGTGTTAAGTCTGCTACGAAATATTGTATTATTAAAAATTATTTTTGTTATAATTAATATTATATTTAATTATTTTGTATATAAATTTTATATATAGATTAAAATTTTCTTTCTTTTAGAAATGCTTTATCATGTTAAATGTGAAAAGTACATTAAAACTTTCTGAAAATTTTTCTTTTATAATTCCTAAGATTATTTTACCAAATATTCAAGTGCTATTCAGTGCTTTTGGGCGAGAATCAAGATTATTTACCAAATATTCAAGCGCTATTCAGTGCTTTTGGGCGAGAATCAAACGGTGTAAAAAAGTTAAATTTCTCTGGTACAGAAACTTACAAATATTTGCTAGGTACATTGTCTTATTTTTAACTTTAGCAAACACGAATAAAATATTATTTATATGTAATCTCTTTTATATTTAATATGTAATTACATATGTATGTAATTAAAATACATATGTAATTACATATGTAATATGTAATTACATATGTAATATGTAGATTAATCTATATATTACATAATTTATATGCAGTATGTAATTTCTTACTAAACCCCTAAATACACAGTTTAGATCTTTATTTTAGAAGTAATTAGAAAGAAATTTCCTGACATAAATGAAAAAGAAATTTCAAGTCAAATAAGTCGCTGGTTTTCAGGTGCAAAGGATAGAGATGGTGGAAAGAGATACCGATTATTAAAATAAAAAAAGTCGTGAAGAGCGAAAGGATATCGAAAATGAAGACGAAATTCTATAATTTTATCTATTTGTAATAATACAAAAAAAAAAAATTACTTAAAAAGTATAAATAATATAATTTTTGTAATAAAAGATTGTCTTTTAAAGTTTATACTATAGTGTCAATTGTGTGTGTGTGTGTGTGTGTCTGTGTGTGTGTGTGTATTATGATTTTCAGACTCTGATAACAGGTTTGGCGCGACAACGCCAAAACCTGATAGTGAGTTGATAGATATGGTGCTAATAGAGCGCGACAGCGCTCAATTTTTCAAGAAAGTACTATTTTAATATCAGCTGCTAACATTGGTTAAGAACTATAGTTCTTACTGGCACAGTACTGCGCCTGTTGTGAATTTTTGATTAGGCAGTAATATGCCATTACCAGATGCCAGCAATGGTTAAGTACTGGACATCCAGTACTGGCGAAGCGTTATCATCCCAGATAAATGCTAGTGCCGAACCAGTACTGGCTGCCAGTATTGCGCCAGTATTAGACAGTACTGCGCCTGTTGTGAATTTTCGCTTGGGTTGTTCTTTTATTGAATATATATGTTTTTATCAATGCAGGTAATGGAGATGATGATGTCTTGGCATATCCTAAGCCCACCGCGCGGAAAAAGATAGTAAACAATAAAGGTCAGCTTAAATACTTCGTTTTAACTTCTCAAGAAGCATACTCAGCAAAGCTGAAATATCACTAAGACAGAATCCAACAGGAAAGAGAAAAATGCGAAGGAAAACAACTGCGATTTGTTAATGATGCTAAGCGACTCAAAGAAAAAGAAGAAAAAAGGTATTGGCAAAGAAAAAAAAATTAGAAAATAGTGCCAACAGGTCTATAGCAATAAGAAAAAAGAAGTTCATTTTATTATCATCTGATTTTCAACCATTGGTTGATTCCGAGATCAACCAATGGACAGCTGCTCAATATAAAAACTAAACTGACTGGGGCAAAAAGAAGACAATATTTGTCATACCACTACGGCTTGTAAGTTTTGATGTGTTGAAACTATACTTTTTTTACACATTTTACGATTACAATTGAGATTGATCTCAGAATCCAGATTCAAGTCAGAATCTAGGGAGAAAGTTCGCTTTCACAAAAGCACCCTTGTTTTTTACTTTTCTAATTTAAATGGTGCATTTGAGCATAGAAACTAACTACCGAGATTTAATCTCACTCACCTGTATATAACGTCGCCTACGCAAGTATAAGTTCTTTTTTAATTTACAATGGGCGACTTTAAATCAACATGGCGAGATTGAGTTCAAGTGGGCCAGAATCAGTGCTTTTGACACACTGTACAACTTATAATGGTACTACCAACTACTCTCATAAAATCTAAATAATTTTACATAGTTTTGTAGCTGAAGGAATAAGCTATCTAATGATGTATAGTTCAGCTGTGCAAGTCTAATAATAGCCTGTCAACATCAATTTTAGTGCGGATGTGGGCGAGGTTCGATGAAGTTACTCTAATAAATAAATGTTAAATACTTAAGTAACTTATACAATTTTATGGTATACAGAATTTTTTTTTTCCTGTAGGTATATCAAAAATAATAAAATTGTTTTTTTCTGATTACTGATATTCGAGCGTTATTGTATAATCCTGATGGCAATATCTTTTATAAACTGAGGTTTTTCGATCCATAGATTGCATTACCTCGAAGAAAGAAAAATATAATCCCAAAAAACATTATTGACTTGAATAATCTACATCAAACAAGACTAAAAATATCTTTGCGAAAATATAATGATTTACAGGATATCAAAATATCAATGTCCGATAACTACCACGATTACTACAATAATATTCACACGAATAATAATAATTTTTACTTCTTCCACTCCTTCTTCATTTTTTTTTTTCTAGCTGCCTATATCAATAAAGGTGCAACTGTTTTGTTCAACTATGTTTAAATGTTTATCCTTTATTATTATTATTTTAATTTCATTACTTTTTTATATTCTAATAAAAAAAAACTTGTAAAAATAGTTTGTTTTTATTTCTTAACAAATTGTGTAACTCCTAGAACTATAGCATTAATTTTACATAATCTATCAAAGTAAAACTCCAAAAAAAGACAATAAAACCATTATACAGCTAATTCTCCACTGTTTTTAATATACAATGATCTTCCGAAATCCTCAAAAAATCCTGATGTCATAATGTTTGCAAATGATACTAAATTATTTTATTCATTCCTGTCAATTACAGAACTTTTTAAAACAACAAATATTGAACTTGAAAAACTTAATATTTGGCTAAAATCTAATAAATTATCTTTAAAAACAGAAAAAACTAATTACATCTTATTCCATCCCAATCAAAAAAGAAAAAAACTACCAAATATATTGCCATTGCTAAGAATAGAAAACAAAAAATCAAAAGAACCACAACAACTAAATTTCTAGGTTTACTTAGTGCTGAAAATATTTCATGGAAAGCACATATTGGTTACCCAGTCAAGACGCGATATCAATGTGATATCAGAATGATATCAAAACCTTCTCAAGCTATGATATCATATAATGATATCAGTATGATATCATAGTGATATCATAACTTTGAGAAGTAAACTTTATTTATAGAAGAATTTCATATATAAGTTATAAAGCACAGTAAAAGTTAAGTTTTTCTCTTTTAATGTCCAAATAGTAAGTTTTGATTTATAAACTTATATTATGATATCATTATGATATTAAGAATTTGTCATGCTATGATGTGAAATACAAGTTGCTTAACATTCATACTACTTTGCCGGAAAACGTCTTTCAAGAATTGACTATTACTTTCAAGATGACTGAAAGATAAGTGAATTAGTATTTAAAAAAATGGAAAGACCAACTCGGTGTAGTTAAGGCGATTTACAAAATATTTGAATACTTTTATTTGGAATTAGCATGGTTTTGTCAACATATTATGCCCAAACAAGATCTTTAAATGCTATAGTTTTTTTTACTTAAGGTTTTTATAATATTTAAAGAAACTTTTTTTTTTTTTATTCATAATTTTCAAAATCTTTTTACTACCGGTAATAATGTATCTTAAGAACACTATTTTGAAGTCTTTAGATCAATTCCGCTCATCGGCATTAACATGAATTTAGTTAAAATCTTTTAAAAAAGTTTCTTAATTTACTACTGATCCTAGTTCTAATCGGTTGTGACTTATATTAACTATATATAGTTGTCAAAACACAATATTTCTATCAATTTTCACAAAAAATACTGGAATTCCGACCAAGAAAGAGCTTATAATTATAAAAAAATTGCCATTAAACGATCAGAACAGATCATATTGTTAAACTATAATGTTCATTTCATCTAAAAAACGTATTAATATAAAATCTTATTTAAATTTGGACGAACGATTGTGATTTTAGGATGATTAAAAAAAAAAAAAAATATTCCACGATCTGGGTTTTTTCGCAACAAACATTTTTATTTTATGATACCGCAAAATTTATTATTTTAATATTTTTCGTCTTTTCATAATTCACAGACCACACCATTTCACGGAAATATGCCGTAGTCAACAAAATATCATACAGACTTTATAATATTTTAAAAGTGCCTTAACTACACCGAGAAGTAAATGAAACTTTATACTTGTTTTATTGTTAGCTGCAATTAAAAAAAAAAATTAAAAACTAAATTGCATTCAAAGTAATAATTAATTTTATTACAGTAAAATATTTGTTTTTGATATTTATTTTTAATACGAATATGTTGCAGAATATATGGATAATATGCCACATCACCTATTATTATTCAAAAACATTCTAACTGTTCTAGAGTTATTTTTTAGTCTATATACGGCTTAGATTTTAGTATTTATTTAAAAAAAGATGTATGTATTTAAGATAACAATAATAAATAACATTTTTGGTAATTGCAAAAAATCAAACAGCATCACCTGCTTTCATTGACCTATATTTACAATTTATTACAACATAACATTTAAAACTAATACTAATATGAACGTGTTAATTTAGTACATATTAGTAGTAATAGTTAAACAGACCCAATGAATGTGTTGTTTTGCACTCTATTTCTTATAGTATTACAGCAGTTATGTTTGATTGCAACTCAGCTATTAATTAAAAGCTGTTTTTGCTGTAACACCTTCAATTGAAACTGAGTTCCATGCATCTAAAATTCTGTTTAAAAAAGGAAATGCTCCCTTTTATTATAAGGAAGCATTTCTTTTTTAATATAATTGCAGCTTTAAGAGTCAACTTTAATCTAATTGCAGCTCTAAGAGTCCTAAAGAAATTCCGTCTTAAATAGTATTAGTAAATAGAAAGCGTTTTCCAATATTTATTTTGTCAATGTCATGCATAAATTTGTATAATTTGAACAAATCTCTCCTTTTTATATTCTCAGAGTTAACAAGCTTAAGGCAATCAGTGGAATTTTTAAACATAAATCATTTAAGAAGTTCCAAAAGTAGAAGGAAAGCACAAATGAATTAGCTATGCTTCTAGAAAGACTTTCAAATTAGCATAGTTAATAAATACCCTTTGTAAATGTAGAAGTTAAAAATTCTGGTTGCTTAAATAACAGTTAATAAAGCTTAATAAAAGGACTTAATAGGACAAAAATCCATAATAATAAGACTTAAATTCTATAAATAGGAGTTATTAGGACTGAAATCTATAATTACAGCAGAAAGGATTTAAGAACTTCTCACTAATAGTAAAAGCAGTAATTATGATAGTAATTAAAATATTATGCTGACATTTAGAGAAAACATAGTTGATGGACTGTTAACTATTCATTATTCTAACAAGAGTAACTACATTTTAATCACTTTTGTGTAGATCTTCTAGTACAAGTTATGACGCTATTGAAATTGCCTTAAAACTCCGATGTTACTATAAAGTTAGGTTTGTAAATCTTCCAAGATATTTCATTTGTTAGACTTATTTAAAAGTTTAATTATTTGTATTGAATACTTTAGTTTTGATATTTCTTTGCAGTTATTTTATTTTTACTTAAATGTTATATTTAATTTACTTTAAATTTTTACT